TAATTTTTAATAGCGATTTACACGATTGCTTCGAATACCTTCTACTCGTTAAGTTGATTGTCAGGCTGCTTCTGTCATATTTTTTTTCGGCTAAATACCCTAAAAGATACCACGAAAGTTCCCGCTGTGGACCTTTTGAGGCTAAACAGTCTTGACAGGTACTGAAGCGACTTTTTTAACCCCTAAAAGATAAGAAGAGCACCCCAGTCCTTCTTATATGGGAGTGCCCCCCCCCCCCGGGTTCGAGACTGATGTATGTGACTTGCTTTCTCCAAGTCTGGATTCTCGTCTCAACGTTCCTGCTCACAAATTTCATACCAATGCCTTGTCGTTAAAGAGGTTTCTCGAGACACGTACATACACAAATAAGAAAAATAAAATCCTATATAACTGACGGGACGGAATGCAATGAAGTCATTTACGGAACGCGCCAGGAAGAGAATTTCAGAAAAACAACGGAAGGTCAAGGGGGTAAACACGGTGATCGATCTTTAAAATAAAGCTAGCCCAAGATTACGACCTGGCTGTTTCTGTGAACATGGGAGCATGCCATCATGGCTCACCTTTGTCCCCCCGGGGGGTGGGGCACGCCCTATAATGTCCTATACAGGAAGCCTCCGCCAGAAAGGGGTACCTTTTTTAAGGGTTCAGGTATATAAAATTAAAAGGGTAGGGATTTCACAAGTTGCAGCATATTAAAGGGTAAGGAAATCTGAAATGTAAGTCCAACGTGAACATGAACTGAATATAAAATACTTTTTTTTTTCTGGTAACGTTTTTTCTTTTTTTCTGGTAACGTCTCTTCTGATTGTGCTTGATGTTCTCCGGTGATATTGCTCATTAACTTCATTCAAGGACTTAGAAAAAGGATGCAGTGTTCTTAATATGAGAAACGGGTATCTTTTTTCAAGAAAACGGCATACGAAAGGGGTACCTTTTGTATCAAAATGGAGTATTCCCCCCCCCCCGCCCCCCGTCTTTCCAATTCAATTGACAAAGACCAAATTTTTGTTACGGTTTTATTCTTTAAATAACCAAAGCGCTTTTGTTAGCTTTGTCGTACAGATCTTTGTCAGCATGGAAATAAAGATAATGGAAGCTTTTGTAGCTCTTATCAGTGTTAGAATCGTGTCACCCAGTTTCACGTATTTTGAAAACATTACCAGCTAAGCGGGCGCATCCTTCTGTTATATTGTTTTCTTCCGTCACCCGGCATGAACTTTCAAGTGTACGTTATCCTGGAAGCTTCCCAATTTCCTTCCTACGCAGTTAAGTTGTCAACAGCAGGAAAGTGAAAAAAGAACAATGAACAATAGGTGAATGACTAAATTGATCATACAACATATCTCATAACATTTCCGTCAGATCCTGCGAGCCAATTCTTGACCTCCAGTGGCCTGTAAAAAATAAAACTTAAAAGTGGCATCATCGCGCAAATCTTTTCAGTGTTGTGATTATTGAAATACCAGCGGTGCGAAATTAATTTTAAGCCTGTTATCGTCTACAAAGTACAAATGTACAAGAAAGCTGTACAATGCTTACTTGCTTGTACCCGTTAATAACGTTTGTGGTTTTCCCACAAATTGTTTGTGTTTCCGGTATTTTACACAAAGAAAACGAAACGTTCCAAAATACTTTGGCGTTCTAAATTTTTCTTAACCTGACGACGTAACTTTTGTTAAAAGCCAGAGCAGAAGCTAAAAATGTTCTTGCACCTCGCGGGGATTACCCATTAATGATTAAATTTTGTGTGAGTGGCTGTCAGTCCCAGGGGAGGGGGTACTCCCTTAGACGGGCTCTGTAGGTATGTGCGTTCACAAAGGCCGGGTTTTCAATCGTTTTGGTCATAAATAGGGCATCGATTCTGACCATTTTGGTCATAAATAGAGTATGGTTTTTGCGCTCTAGTGTGTTTTTTAAGAAGCTACTTTTTCATCATTATTGATAAGACCATCCATAAAAGCCCTTCACAGCGCCTGAACTACAGGTAGCTAATTATATGAAAGGTCTATAACAGGGTACTGATTGCAGGGTCAGGTCTTAAATAGGGTATCAAATTTTTGGTTAGGTTATATAAATAGGTTAGGGAAAATCGCAGATTTTGGTCATATATAGGGTAAGGGTTTTGGGAAGCGTACCTCACATCCCCACCAAATTTTTCTAGGGGTAGCCCCCCGGGCTGTCAGTACACTTGACGAAAATCGAAAAGATCCTATCGTCACTTCTTGATTGGCGTAAATTTCCTTTCAGACAAATGGCTGTCATCAGTGGGTTTATTCTGGTCCAGTGCCAAAAGGTGCCGGGATTATATAACAAGACTCCTCACTTATCTTTTAGTTGTGTCGTTGAGCGTTTACAGAAATACCACAAGGAGCTCGCTTTGAAAGAATTTTTCGCGATGAAGACGTTTGTGATCGTATCTGTTCTTCTGTGCTTTGGTAAGCTGGCTTTCTTCCTTGTATAACGTTTGTTTCTGGAAACTGTAGAAAACGTTTGGTACCTGGTGTTCATAGCGGATGAATGTAAGTGAAAATCTAAGAGCTGACGATTGTAATCTGTTTGTCCGATTAAACAGAAGCCACGAGTTTTAACAGACCTAAGAACCATCTCCAGCTAGTTTCTGTTGTTAGGTCGGGATTTTTTTGCTCCAGCTGCGCGCTAATCCACACAGATTACTGTTTTCTAAGCACGACCGACTGAAAACAACTCAGGAGCCGGTAAATTCTGTCCCAAGAATGGATGTTGCAGAGAAGTTTAACTGTACAAGAGTTTTGACTGTACAAGATTGTGGAGGCCGAAAATCATTTATCCCTTGTGGCTTATCCGTTTAGTAATTGTTTAAAGTAGAATCGGTGTATAAAGGTTTTAAACCTAAGATAATTTACTGCATTTTTGGCATAACAAATGAAGAAACGTCAAGAGTTGTTTACGGCCTGCGAGCACTGTTTTTAGAATAGTAAATGTAACCTTATACATGTAGAGGTCATCTGTGCCAGCCGAATGCGAGATAACATCACGTTTTGCACTAGCTCTCCTCGGCAGTCTAAGTGGAAGGTCGCGCGCCAAACTCGTTTTCAGGATCTCTCGCGTCTCTCCCGCGCGCGGGAGCGACCGAAATCGAGGTCGCGCGCGGAAGCGGGAGCGAGGCTTCTCCTTTCCTCTCCCCATGCTCCGCGCATTTTGACAGTATTTGAAATACGTACGTGCTTGTCTTTCAGTTGCAGTCTCCCTTGCGGCCCCACAGCTGTCCTGTGTTCGATCATTGAGGTGCAATAAGCAATACCAGGGTTGTTACATAGTGGAGGGAATGTGCCATTGTGCGAAGGCGTTTTGCTGCAATAATCCGTTCAAGTACCCGTCGCTGGATAGCTGTCTTGCAAACAATACACAACAGTTAGGTAAGCTATAAACATTTTGGTTTCGAGAACGTCTTGCAGTTTAATAGCTTTTTTTCCAAGTGACATTAAAAAAATCGCAACAAATTTAACATCAGATCTCTTTCAATTATAGAGGCGACAATAAACCCGACAAAAAGGGTGCTGGAGACGGGGGAAAATTGAAATAATTCGTGAGCGTCGAATTTGAAAAAAATATGTTAACTATTTCAAGTTGCGTCATCTGTAAAATAGCGCTAGCTTCTATAAATTTCTCAAACGCATTAACTAACAATTCATCGAGTTAAAACAAAGAAAATCACAACCGTGAAGGTTTGGATACCCGGTCTTAATAAGCATAGATTTTGACGACTTCACTTCTTCGTTTACTTCTTAGTTTTTGTTTCGATTGAGAACATATATCAAACACTCGATACAGTGTTTCATCGGCTACCCAAACACCTCGAATTTCTTCAAAAATACACCGCTACGCGTCGTATTTTCAACTCTCTTCTCGGTGTTTGGATATCGCGATAAAACACTTTCTCTCGAGTTTGATATGTAACGCGAACATGCCTTCATATTCGACCCCCTCCCCTTGAATGGTCATAACGCCCTAACCGCACTAAAATGGTTGGTTCCCTAGTCTCTTGTTTATTTTTTTCTACACATCTTAGACGACTTTCAACCGTCAAGAAAGATTTTATGTGAAGTATATATGAAATAATTCATATNAGTTGGTAGAGCATCGCACCGGTATCACGGAGGTCACGGGTTCGAATCCCGTTGAAGCCCTGATTTTTTCAGGCTTCGTCTTTCCAATTGCTTAAATTGAAAATTTACTGCGATGAGCATTCTTCACTTTCAAGAAAGATTTTATGTCGTCCATTAAACCACTACATTTAATTTTTGTGTTTCAGAGGACCCGTGCGAAGACAATCCGTGTAAAAACAATGGATATTGTGTCCAAATTAGTGGATCAGCGCAACGAACTTTTCGTTGTGACTGTCACGGTACCACCTACTTCGGACGTCGCTGTCACGAGAGTAAGTAAAAATACGCGGATAGAGTGGTTTTCATTTGAGTGTAGAAAGCTAATTGCTTTGGCGCTTACTACGCAGCATGATTGGTTTAAAAACTCGCGCTACTTTTTCATCCAATCAAGAGTAAAACCAAACCCAATCGCGACTCGCTCGCACACGTTTTCCCGCGCTTTGCGTCGTCTACATGTAATGACTTGGAGTTCTGATTGGTTCACTGTATTGTCTGCGTCCTTTGTGATTGGCCGGAGTGATTACTTGGGTTTTGGTTGTACACCACTCTAAAAACCGCTCTATCGAGTTTCATGAGATCGCTACCATGTGCATTTAGAGGACAATTCTGATCTTCGTACTGGTTGCTCTAATTTTTGCAGATATAGCTAACCGTGCTGTCGAGACCCAACAAGGTCGATACAGCTGTCCACGGTTGTATTTGGACTCTGTCATATCGTTGTCGCGTCAGGTTTACGTAATATCAGCTCTGCTTAAATTGTGGCTTCTTTGTTTGCACTTCTTGTTTGATACACTAAGCAGGGGCTACGTTTCATCCTTTAGCAAAAGTTGAACTAACACAGACCCGATTCCGCTCCGTTGTTGATAGAAAATTTTATTTTGATTAAGCACGACGCAGGAATTTTTGCATAATATAGCACGCTTTTCAAAGTTGTAGATGAGAAGAAACCGAATCTAATAGCTCTTTTTGGAAACAAATGTCGTCTCTTAGTCACTGCGTCTTTTACTCTCGTTCTCACTTCAGCCATCATTTGCAGCCACACCTCTAAGCGCAAGCAATTTATTTAACATAAAAAGCAACTATGATTTAACACTACTAACAGATCGTTTTAACACTGGTAACTATAAATTCCATCATTGAAGGATTATTTTTTCTCTTCCTCAGAATGTCCAAAGGATGTGAGAAAAGAAATCTCCAGGTATTTGGAAAGCAAGGCAAAGTTTGCTCGTGAAAGAATTAGAAATCTTTTAGCGTGCGATCTTTAAAACAGGCAGGACTGTGTTTTGCGGACCTCAACAAGAACTTTCAGATTTTTTTATGTAGCACATTTCCTGTAACTCTTAACCAAGTAGGAATTTCCTTGGATTCTACCTTTAAACGAATGCCTGAAGATAAGCAACTTTGTTTCGTTTAGTTGGCAATCTCTCCTAGCTGCTGACTTGCGTCGTTACTATGTAACGCATTTGCTGTCACGTAAAACAAACCGAGCGTTCCTGAAGTCACCCAGTTGATCGAAAGGTGGATAACGCTATCCACCGGATAAATCACTATCCAGGAGACAGCACAGTTTGTTCTGTTAACACTTAACCACTGGATAGCGATTTATGCGGTGGATACCGTTATCCAGCTTTCGAGCAATACTTTTTTATTTTTTTTTAATAAAGAAATGAATAGTTGTGATGTGAAATAAAATCATATATCATGTGCTTCTCAAAGTTTGAAAATCTATTGTAGAGAGTGTAAGGTTTGCCTTTAGGCAGAAACAGACTTCAACTTCAATACATAAACGAGTCAGACAAAGTGAAAAAAGTACATCTGTATTCTGTATTTCTTTGAACTTCACACATGTTAAATAAATGTTAAATGTACTATGAAATCTTTCACTTTAATAGTTATTGTAACCTGGAGAACTCAAGCCTTGACCACACTACGGCGGAGAAATTTGAAAACGGAGGCCTTTCACTCTGAAAACGCATCAAATGTTTTCTGTCCACACTACGCCGGAGGAATTTAAGAACGAAACAATCCCTGGTCATTTCGGATTTGTGTTTGAGGAAAACTCGGTCTGGGGAATCACATGATTATTGTGACGCCATCGTTTTCAAAAAGCTCGTTTTCAAAACGTTTTCTGTCCACACGAAAACGAAAAGCCGGCGTTTTCAAATTCCTCCGGTTCGAAGACAGTTTTCCAAAAGCTCCGTTTTCGTGACGGATTAGTGTGGACGGTAGGCCTAACCGTAGAAATAACGCTGCCTTTTCAAATTCCTCCGGCATAGTTGGACGGGGCCTCAAAGGAAGCAGAGAGTTTGGGAGGGATGTGGGAGCTGTATTGTATTTTCTCGATTTTGATTGGAGGATTGGGCGGTCTTTTTGAACCTCGGCTTTGAAGACCCGGCGTTTATTTGGACATGGTCAACACTGGAAAAGTTATCAATACCTATTTTTCATAAAAATGTATTTTAGAGAATCCTTTTAGTAATACTTTAGTTAGCATATCTGATAGCTTTTATGACAAATAATCTTGACAAAACTGACTTAAAACCAAATTTTGACTGATGAATGCAAGTTAACCTATCATACTACATGCAGTGTAGGTTTTTTTTGTGTGTTTTGTCACCCACAATCTGGCTATTACTTGGAAATTACTTGAAGTTGGTTATAGCAGGTTTGAATTGAGTGTCGTAACACCAAAACCAAACCAATTACTCACCAATTAGACTACTCAGCTAATCTCAAACCGTAGTAAAACCAAAACCAAAGTAACTGCCTGATTACTTTCAACACTCAATTGAAAACTGCTCCAAAGGAGTTATAAGCCCTATCAGAGCAGATACCAAAAAGATGCTTATATGAGCTAAACTCAAAATTTCATTTCCAAGTAACTGCCTAGATTCGTTTCTATGACTTAACTGGTGACATTAATATTACTTCCGATGATAAAAGAATGGTCAAGACTTAAAGCACAACTCTGCCTAGGACCATCTCCTTATAACAGACACTGGTGTTTAATATGTTACTAGGCTGATCACCAAAATACTTTCACCGAAATTATATGATCTATGACACAGATAACCCAGCTTTACAAACCTTAGCCACACGCTTCTGTTTGCAGAAGGGGTGGTGAATGGTAAATATGAGACTTTTTGAGAAGGCAAGATTAGCGTTTCTCTTTGCAAGCCCGAAACATTTTGACTTTTCAAATTGTGAGACCATGATTTCAAAATGATTTAAATGCGAGCGCGAGATGTTCACATTCAGAGGTCACTTATAAAAATAAACAAATCAGACTTTGAGACTTTCTTAGCTTTGTAAACAAATTTAGACACTGACTCCAAGAAAGCTTTGTGAAAAAAATTGATACTGCAAGATGCAAATAATGGCTAAAAACAAACGAGACTGCGAGACTTGTGAAATTCATCGAAATTTTTGCAAAACCCATGGATTTTGAAGGACCATTCATCACCCCATATCTCTTATCAGTGTGAGGCTAAGGTTAACAAATTGTCATTCCAGTTGAACTGGTGTTAAGCCACCAAGAGAGATAATCCTCTTGATTCTTTAGCTAAGCTACTAATATCAGTCTCA